TCACATTTTCCATGCAAAAGGAGGAAAAGTGTCTTCAAATGGCATAAATATCTTCTTTTTCTCCTCCTGTCAAACCAGAGAAGATTAATTTTTAAAGTAAAATCTGTAAGGGGCATTTATGGAGAAAGCGTGACTTTGGCCAGATTATTCTCCTGGGCAGGAGTTCCTCTAGGCAGCCTTGGTTTTAGTTTTCTAGTTTTCCAAAACATTGTAAGACATGAACTTCTATGTCAAAAAGCATTAGAATAAATTACTTTGAAAGTCTGGCAGAAACTTATCTTTCACAGATACTATATTATAGATAATGAAAATGAATAGATTCATTAAAATTATTTTCTTACTACTTTGTGTAATGCAAATCTCATCCTACAGCTTTTGTTTCTTTGTTCCTTGCCGTGTTCTAATTTTAAAGAAATAAAGATTAGAAAACTGTGCATATACTCTTTATGCTCACACATCAAATATATTTCTTTCTGTGTTTAGAAACATAATTCTAAATATAGAAGTGTCAATACTATACTGGGTCAGATCTTTTGAATAAGTTCATGAAATGTGACTTCCAGGTGATGCAGAAGCCTATTGCTGAGCCAAAGATACCACTTCAGCCCAGAGAGAGCCCTTTTTGGGAAATGCCCATGCCTGTGATTTCAAAGATTAGTTCCAGATTCCTCCACAATGCTTTCAATAAGGTAAACTATGTAAGGCTGTAAGTTTTGGCTGGTGCCTCTCCTTTGGTCAGCAGCTCCTGTGCCACTACTGTCAATGACAGGTTTGCACAAAGATGAAGGGCTGTAGCAGTTCAGCCTGCAGTAGATGGACGTTATTTTTCCATCAGCTCTTTCTTACTGCCTTCAGCATCTCAAGCTGGGGAAGAAGGGAAGTAGGGTGAGAAAGTCTCAATGCCTGTGGATGAATGGGGTTAGCTTTTACTCCTCACCTCTGTAGGACGAGAAAAAATCTGACCCCAGAGGCGTCATGTATCCTGGAATTGTCCCCCAGCAGTTATGAATTGCCAGTATCTCATACTGGAGACTCCAAAAGTCTCTATCGCTACACCTATCACCTATGGTTCACAAATGATTCACAAGTGATGGCTCTGAGGCCTGAAAAAATATGGTGAAAAAGAAACAGGAAAGAGGAACAAAAAGAGATCTGTCATCTGATATTGCACTTTTTTTTACTTTCCTTCTATTGCAACAAGTTTTTTCTTAAAGATCTGTTGTATCGATTAGGCTTTATATGTATAGCACATGACAGCATCTATCCAGTGAGAGATGGCTAAACGTTTGTCCTCAAGTACTGAACCACTCAGGTCCAGCCTGCAACAACAGGGTGCCAATGACCTGACCTGATGTTGCATCCTTTAAAGACACACTTAAAGCTTTTTAAGCTTTCTTGATAAATTAGAAGTCATTATAATTGTTTTATAGCTAAATGCAAGTAGTTTAAATGCCCTAAGGCTTCATTTTATCTTACCAGCTAGAATTGTAACCTGCAGGTTTTCCAATACATCTGGAAGCTCCTCAGAATTAATCCCAGGACTCTTTCCTTCCATCCTGCTGTGTCTCCTGCTTCATGAAGGCTATTTGTCCAGGACTTATTTTCTAAACCATTCTTTTTCTTCTTGCAATAGTGTCTTGAAATGAAACTGCTTCACTATTTAATTCTGCTACTTCTCTGTGTAAGAGGTGGCCAGTATTTGAGTCTTGTTTCTCTGATAATCCTACTGAGCATTTGTTTAGGAAAGTCATGTCCTTCTGTAAGTCCTGCTACCCTTGTTATTTGACTTTTTAACTGTAGACAGTTTCTCAGCCAGTATACATCCTCCTGGTGCCACCCAGGTTCTTTGAAGAAAGGTTCTTTGATAATCCATCTGGTATCAAACCATCTCTGTGTGAGATGGTTCACAGGCCACTGACCAGCATGCCAAGAACTCTTCTGTATCATGTGGCCATTCCTAATTCCCATGCTTGGTGGGCCTTGTCCATTTGCATGCATCATTTGTGTCCAAAATTTAGTCAGATAATTTCAAGATTCACAACTAATTGCCATGTAAATATAAATTCTTTTTGTCTTCAAAAAAAGAGAGACCTGTAAGGATTTTGTGCACAGACTACCTCCACGACTGGACCTAAGTTTATATACCAGGCAACAACGGAGCAATCTTACCACGCGTGCTGCCAACACACTGCAAATCTGATCAGCAGAGTATCTTTTAGCAAACTCTTTAGTCAATGCTAATAGCCAAGCACTGCAAAGTGAGCAGGTGAGTTTGTGATGTGGATGCTGGAGGCAGACCAGCTTCACCTGAAAAAGGGATGTACAAACATCCATCAGCTGAGAATAGTTTTGCATTCCTATTGCAGTGGGCTGCAGTCATATGGGGGAGCTATGAGCAATAGGCTCTGACACTCATTAGCAACACATATGTGCTCTGAGGATTAATATCAATCCTGGAATTACACTTTCATTTAAAGCAGAGCTTCTGGAATAAGGGTCTGCTAAAAGTGACCTCTGAATGTTCGTGTACCAGTGAAGGCTCCTAACTTCCCATGCAAACACAGTTTACCGCTGGGTATCCTCACCCTGACAGAGCTCATGGGACTGGGATTGTGCTGAGGATTTATCCTCAACTACATTATCCATAAATCAAATACTGTTCCGCTGTAAAAAGGAATAAAAACAAAGCCTACACTATAAAAATTACAAATATTATGATAGCTAAATTTGAGTCAAAAGCTTATTTTGCTAAGCAAAATGGTTTGGACAGTTGTCTTGAGTTCTCACTTTAACCTCTGGTTTCCCCTTTTGGGGCTGTCAGTCACATCTGGATCCACAATCTCAAGGAGATGAAGATGACTGTTACCACTTCTGTCACAGCTGTAAGTGACAAGACAGCCTACAGAGTTGAGGAGGGTATGGGGAGATAAAATGCACAACTGGCTTTTTACCAGTAATTTACGTAACCGTTTGGGAATCAGCCTGGTCAAGATCTCTAGATGTCCTTCCCAGTCCTGGGAGAGGAACAAAGCCTGATAGTTACAGGCAGCTGTGTGGGGAGGGACGGGGGCATGGGCATGGGGACACACATACGCACACAAATACAGGCTGGGCCAGGCTGTGGTACATGTATCCACAACCTCTCAGCAGAAGCTGGTCCAGGAGTCAAAGTGGAGTGAGAAATGTTGCGGGTACAGTATGTCTCTCTACCGCATCTCACTAGGGGAGGGGGGAAAAAAGTCTATGCCGTGCAGCTACAGGGTGTGTATTTTGGCCTCTCAAGGGAAGGGCAGTGAACTGGATGCAGTTTAATTTGTTTTTAAACTATCAGTAGTTAACGATGTCTACATGAGGCACCTGACGTAGGCCATCTCAGGAACGTCCTTCAGCTCACCAACGTGGCGAAACTGTAAGAAAGTCAGAAGAAAGTTTAGGATACCCCCAAGCCGGGCACAGCACATGTGAAGCTGAGGTGTGCTTCTCGCCGTGCACGGACGCTGTGAGCAGGGAGCGGTGTGCCTCCTCCCCCAGGCCTGGCTCCGCAAATGCTAACGTTCTGCAAATGCTTCTGTCATATCCTAGCCACATTTCTCACACAATCCTTGACTGCAACAGCCCCTTTGCTGCACAACAGATAGCAAAATTCGGTGTGTTAAGCCAGGTCAGCAGAAGGTTGCTTTTCACCCTCTTTCTGCTGACAGAGCGGTGGAAGAGCTGGGCCCTGGCACAAACAGCCCTGCTGCTGCAAATGAAGAAAAGAGTGAAGGAATGTTAGTACCACATTTAGCTTTATTGAAATTGAACAAATACCTTTTTTTAATAAACCCTTTTACAGCAAGTGTAAAATTTTAACGTTTGATTCATCTTATGTTACAGGTTGTCATCTTCTGTGTAAGCAAAAATACCATCTTTTTTTCTTTTAATTTTCTACTTTAAAACATGTAGCAAGGATTTGAATAACGCAGATCCGGCACCAAAAGGTAAGAGGTTCTGAAATTCACAGTACAGTTTTAAAATTCTTAGGTTAATTAATGATATTTAAAATGATAGCCACTTTGAGTAAGGATATAAATCAGAGGTCTGTAAACAAGTTGTGTTTACCTATAGAGCTATTGATTGCAGCTACAATGACAGCAGTAATAGAAACTCAATGCTAAACTGAGCTACACCTTTGAGGAAACAAGTTCTTACTAAGTAGTGTGGTACAGGGTAGCACAATAGGTAAAATACAGTTTGGCACCTCAAGTTGCATGTAAAATCAGCAGAAATAAAATGAAGTAAGTGCACTGTCTTCCAACAAAAATAAACTGGGCAGTTTCACTGGTTTCGGAGTGTCAACTGTCAAATAAATCACACGACACACAAGTTCAACCCCAAAATTACAATTCCAATAAAGCAAGATAATATTAAAATGCACACCCACAAGGATAGTAAAGTATAAATCTTTTTTTTTTCTTTTTTTTTTTTTCCTCTCCCCTGTCAGTAGAAATAATTTACAACCCACAAAAGGACTCCTTGGTGAAACCACTAACTACAGACATGGTCATGGAATGTAGCTCAGTAGACTTGTTTCAAATAGAAAGGCAACATTATCCTGAAAAAGTTTGGTCCTCTTATAACTCACTGTACTGTAGCCACCACAGCCTCTTGGTAGATGTTCTAGGAGAATTGCTTGTTTTCTGATTCTCTTTTCTCTTGAAAGATAATATCTTGGTGATAAAGTTGGGTAAAATTTGGCCCCATTTACAGATGTCTGATCAATGCTGAATCTGGAAGAACAACACTGAGAGTACATAGGGGGAACATTTTTTGACTGGTCTCACGGCATATTTTTTCATGCAATCACTTTTCCTTCTATACTTCTTTTCCGTTTTGTTCATTTTTTTCTTCAGTGTCCTTGGGGGGGAAAGAAACCCTTAGTCCAAATGACAGAAAGACATTTCACTGTTTATTTACACGTGGATCACTTTGGCTAAGAAGTCCTGGCAAACTAGAGTTGCCTATTTCTTGTGAATGTCCTCATGCCGTATAATTTTGTATGTAATCCAGTAAAAGATGTTGAAAATGAGGAAGGCAAGTGGGAATGCAGCACGAGATATTGTATCAATCCTTTTTGCACGGTCAACAAACTTCTTTTTGATGGAATCTGAATCCTTTGATGGTGCCGGAGGTGGGTTGGGTGGAGTAGCCTTGACTGTTGTGCCGTCTTTGACTTGGAGACAGTGACCCATGCCATAGCCACTGAAATTGAATCGACTCTCACGAGCAACTTCATCTTCCTGGAGGATAAAGAAGACAAATAAGAGACACAATCACCTGTCTATCACGCATGCCATATACTTGAGTAGCTGAGGTGCACCCCTCCAAAGCACCTGAGCAAATTAGCTGGTGAAGCTACGATACAAAGTCCAGGTTTCAAAGACAAGCAAGCAATTAAAACTTACATAAAAATACATGGAAATTAGGTGACTGCCAGTGTTTGTGAATCAGAGCTTTAATTTCTCTAGCTATGACTACATCTGTTGCCCTGAGCAACAGGCTGTATCCCAACCCCATAGGGAAGAAATCTGACTCCACAGGTTTCTTATCGCTCTCCTTGGGCTTGCTGTGGGGAGGAAACTTGGTCATGTTGGTAGCAGGGAGTCAGGTTTAATTGAATGACCCAGAGATCCAGGGGCCCAAGCTCATGGCAATGTGTATCCATGGCTCAATCTAACCACAGCCTTGCACCTCCGTCTCTGATCTACAAAACAAGGATAGATCATGGTCCCTCCTTGCTCACAGGAGCGCTCTGACAATCAATACTTCAAAGTGCACTGGGCACTTGGATTTAGTGGTAAACGGGAATTAGGTATAATAGCATGAGTTATTATAGCACCATCGTGCAGAAATCCATTCTCTTTCTTGTCTGAGTGGGTAATATTTTTTTTTGGAGAGGTGAGTAACTACCACTGAACTATATCACCATGATAACTGTGTGATGAAAGGTTTGTGACTGTGCTGGTAAATTCTCACTGCCATTTCTTCTGTCTGATAGCACAATAATACACAAGTTAACAGTTACTGGCAGCCCTCCATGAAGGATTCAAAATGAACAAACAAGCAGCTCTATTCTTTTTCATTCCAACAGGGATGAATTGTAGGTCCAGCATCTTGCCCTAGTTAAAGACCTTCTCTTCAACTGACAAATACCTCATTGTTGATTTAAAATGACCACTTCTTGGGCTCACAAGGAGCCCACTCCCTCACAGGGAATACTCCCTCATATCCGTTGCTAAACCACATCCTTCTGATCTTAACAGAGAATCAGAGACTGCAAGAAAAAACATCACAGCAGCAAGATATTGAATAAGGAGTACATTTGCTGAAGTTGGGGGTGGGGAGGGAAGATAATTTACACCTATTCAGGATGTAAATCACTGCTCCTTCACAGAAGCACCTCTTTCAATAATTGCATTTTTCTCTCTCCCCAGCTTCAGCATTGGAATTGAATATATCACCAGACTTGCTCTCCTTACCTTGGAGCTGACACACAAACGTGAATAGCCAGTAGTGAGATCCAAGGCTACCAAATGAGAAATAGTCACTCTGACTGCTTATGGCATTGAGTGCTTATGGAAGGAGGATAGGCAGTAAACAGTGCTTTGGAGCCCCTGTCACTTTGGCCTGAGGACTATTCTACAGTGAACCCATGAGCAGGTGGAAAATTGTGGTATTGCAAGGCTGTTTGAGCACTTATCCGGGGTTTATATCCCTTTCGTTTCAAAAGCTCATCATCATTAAGAAAAAGAAGCATGATCCTCTCCTTTTTCAATTTTATTTATTTACAGTTTTCAGTCCCCCTCTGTGAAAACTCTGAAATTCTGCTTGTCCTAGTGATCATAAATATGTAAAGTATATTAAAGATGAACCCACTGAGACCTAAGTTCTGGATAGGCTTATTGGCAAGGCTTCTTTTGCATGACTTAATAACACCAAAAGGTCCCCCGATAATACAGGGAGCTGCCTTCCTCGCAGCACTTTCCCTTTTAGTGAGTTTGAAGGATAAAATGCATGCCCAGGACATGAGGGGTGATTAAAAAGGGTAACAGATTTTCAGCAGCTGTGTTGCCATATGTACTTCATTCATTTTGTAAAAAATTAATTTCTGTTACTTGTGAGGGATCTATGGGAGGAAAGAAAATGTACTGAGTTCCACGCAGGACTTGGATAGGCCCAACTTCCACTGTGCCCTGCTGGGTCACAGCTTTGTCGCATGGGGCTGAGTAATTCGCCTTCAATGTCACAGTCCTGCTTTTGAGCTTACACTGTTGTCACTTGGGTGGGAAGCTATCTGAGATTAGGGACAGGGATGTTTAAATTGCATTCTTTCAGGTCTTCAGCACCCGACCTTTAGCTGTAAGGAGCCACTCATTTCCCAATGGGATTTAGAGCCCTGCTTTTTCCCCCACAGACAGCTGGTGGTGCCACTTCTTTCTCACAAAACCCAGAGGGAAGTGTGCCAGGTCCCCATGCTAGTTTTTTATTTAGGACTGCAGTAGATGCTGATTTACCCTGGATATAAGAGGAACCAGCATTCACCTGGGGTATGATGAGCAAGTGCTCGGCTTTCTTCTCTGTTTGTGCAGATTTGAATCTCCTTCTCCCCAATAAATATCTGGATCGGTTTGTTACCTGTTGTCCCAACAGGTAATTTGCTGGTTGCAAAAAAGTGTGTGTTTATGTAGCTTTTTTTACACTTTATCAGAAAAACTTTTTTCAAAAACTAAATAATTAATTAAGAGACTGGCACTGTGTTTCTACCCTGCCACTTGTTTCTGTGTTTGATATTACACTCTTACGAAAACTTAGCACGAGAGACACTTAAGCTGTAGCTGTTGCGATCATCTAAGTGCCACTGGAAGCAAGCACAGCCACAGTCCTTACAGCCCCACCTCTAGCCCTAGAGGTGCCACAGCTCCATAACCACCAGGTCATTTTCAGCCCCAGGAACCAAAGGGGCTTTGCAGTCTGGCACCTGCCTGCCCTCTGAGTGCTGCCAGCATCTACAGTCTTACAGGCAAGGCCTGACCCCATCAGAGCTCTCCCACCTGACCAGACATCACCTGAAAGATCTTGGGGTGGTGAGGTCTCTGCCCTCTCCAATAAAATTGGCCAATAGTGTTGAAAATTAACAATGAAACCCTACAGAGATCGAGATCCACATGTCTGTGCTGGGTCCTCCCATGCTTTTCCCATGAGACTGCAGTCAGGCGTGTGTCCTATTGGCCTCCTGAGCCCTTAAACCAGTTCCACCCAAAATGACACAGCAGGGACAGAAAGGCTTCCTCCCTGCCGCTGAAGGGAGCTGGGGGTCAACCCAAGTGCTGGAACTTCATTGTCCATGCTGCTTGTGGGTTAGCTCACTCTGGCGTGGACCATGCCAACAGGCTTTCTCCGAGATGAACCTGCTCTACTGGGGACTAATGCCATGCACTGTGGTCATGAGCCATGTGGCGATAGCTGGCCTCAGAACAATAAAATCCTCAATGTGATTTACTTTAGCAGTACAGATGTAGTTAAAAAACTGTCTTTAAAACACCATAATCTTATGGCAAAGCTACAATTTGACATTTTAGATGATCTTCCAACATTCTGTTACATATAAAGGATTTTGGGGAATAGTCATGGAGAAAGAAAAACAAATTTAGATCCTTTGACAAAGGGAACCCTTTTTTTTTCATGTTTCAATATCTGAGTTGAAGAACTGACCTCAAGTGCCTTCCCTTAACATAGTGGATATGTCTTCCTTTAACCTAGAGGCTTGGTGAACTACTGGGCAACTTACCTAGGGTACCCTCTGACGTGGCTGTAGAGTCACTCTTCATTCTCAAGGTCATATTCAGCTCACACCATCTGACATACCCTACCATGGAGACTCATCCAAAGACAGTCTTCAGCCTGTGCTGTTCACCAGTTTAGTCACTGGTAAAATAGTGCAAACAACTTTGCAAACATTTCTATCATTTTAATCAGATTACGCATAAAAATTGCATTCATTTTAAACCAGACATGATCTCACTTGCTTAAATCCCAGGCTATTTATGGGTTTACAGATTTTAAAACCAAAATCAGAAAGCGTCTTGAAGCCACTGGACATCAACTGGAGTGGCAGAATCCACTGCCGTTGAAGTCGTTGACTTTATCTTTCTAAAGGGATGTGAAGTTAGTCTTGCCTAATACGTAGTGATAGAGATTTGGGCAACAGTTTTCTACAGACGCTTTTTCAACAGCATAGATTTATGTGTATTATCTTATGGTGTCATACTGAACGTGCTTAGGTGTTGGCTATAAACAATTTTCATCAAACAAGAAATACATATTTTTTCTCAATTTTTAATTTCTCTTTATGAATTTAATGTTTTTCTGTGCTTTACAAAGTAATGAAATTAGATTCTCTTGACTTAGCTTTACAGTAGGCAACATGTAAATCAAGAGGGTTATATTTCTGGCATGGTTTTCTTTCTTCGTGTTCCATCTTTGTAAAGCATTTATTTCTACTCCATCAGGTCTAGAATGTAATTCATACTACCAACTTCACACCAAAGCAATCAGGAATGGGAAAAAACTTTAGAAAATCTAGTCCATTGCGCCTTGCATGCACAGTGTTCTGTACAATGCATTCTGAAGTGCTTTCTCCTGACCACTTTTAAATGCTTATTGTCAGCATTGACTCAGTTTTAACAACGAGGAAAATTAGAGAGAAGCTGGCTTCAAACAGTGTATTTAATTTACTCTCTGATGTGATTTATTCGTTTAATTTTGCTACTCTTTTTCCAACATATGGTGGGCAAACGATTTAAAAGACTATCTGGTTTAATTAAATTTCAAGGACATAGGAGATTAATTTTAGGTATAGGGTAGAGAACATTAGGGAAATTTTCCTTTTGGCATTCATAAGCACAAAGTTAGAAAACCACAATAAATTCAGACTTGAATGCAAAATGGAATCAATAGGAATTAGGCCCCAAAATAGCTTTGGAGACTTCATTCCTAAATCATCTTTATGATTTTGAGACACCTCCCATCTCTCAGTACTTTACATAATTCATAGTGTGGTTTTGCAAAGACAGTTGTGCTCACATGGTTTCAGTTCTCAGGAGTCATTGAGTATGTGGATGAAGGTAGTTCAGCTGAGAAGCATGCTTGGATGTTCAAATCCTCTTTGGTTCCCCACAGAAGGCTCTTACAAAGCTAAATTGTCAGGAGATGAGAGGGAAGGTCCTTCCATAGATTAACT